ACACGGCTCCGGGGGGTTACTAAAGGTCTTCTGATATGAATCACAACGTTTGTGTAAGAAAAATATCCATAATTTATTCAATTATGGTCCTAATACAGGAAAACAAATATTCATATTTAAAACTTTATAAAGCAATACATCCAGCTTCCAGCAGACCGCGACTTACAAAGAATGCGTAACCCCTCTCACAGTTCAAAACGCTACGTATGACATAGGACGTAAGTGTTTTGAACTGCAAGAGGCGTTACGCATTCTTCGTAAGTCGCGGTCCGCCGGAAGCTGGATGTATTGCTTTATAAAATTTTAAATATGGATATTTGTTTTCCTGTATTAGGACCATCATTTAATAAATTACTCATTTTAAATTCTTGGTATCCTAATGTTTGCAATTCTTCCTTAAGAATCTGTCTTTCTCTTTTATATGCAGAACATACCATCATAACATGCTCCACCGTTTCCTCTATTAAACAAACATCACATGAACCTGTGTGATGTTTCCCTATACTATGCAAAGTATAGTTAAGATTTGAATGCCGTTTGTAAGTGTGTAAAAATGACTTGCTCTCTTCTACTTACGTTATGAATTATTTTACTTTTCTTTATGCTCCTTTTAACCTGATAATAATGCCGACCTGTTTTACATGAGTTCCAAATGTCTGCCATTTCCTATTGCATGCTTCGAAAATAAAATGTTTTTCATCTTTATTGATTCTTTAGCCATTTTGGCAAAACTGTGCTGTACTCCTCCTCCTTTGAACACCACCCCTTGAACTTGAGGGCTCAAAATACACACACACACTTGAAAACTCTTGAAAGAAACATGTCTTATATATGAATATACTAAATATAGTATAATATGAATATTGGTGGCTTTATTAATTGCAACATTCTCCCAGACGTCTCAAAGCATCTGACAAGCATTATATTTGAATATTTCAATTCAGATCTCACAAATGAAAATCCATCTATTCATTGTCCATACATAGGCTTGTCCTTTTTATGTTCTTTAATAATTACAAAGGAAATCTCAATCTCTCACAGTATCATCACAAATTAATGAAGCTCAAAAAATGATATTTTTCACCCTTATTTTCCATTATTCTGTATTTTATTCAGATCTGTAAAAGGTACAATAACGGTAAATGTGTAAATAGAATCATTTTCAACAAGGTGATTTTACTGATCGAGCACTATTGTGGTACAGCAACAGCTCCACACAGGCTTTCACAAGGAATTCTGGACCATGTGAACATTTAAATGTGAAGGTATTTGGCAGAAGCATGTACAATCTTTGCCAGAACTGGGTTTTTGGTCCCTTAAACCTGTGGACCATGAGAATTTGTGACACATTATGCCTAACTTTATTAAAAGCTGCACCAACAGCTGTGCCAACAGCTCCACCAACAAATGCACCAACTGCTGCACCAGCAGGGCCACCAATACAGTGCCGTGAAAAGGTTTTTGCCCCCTTCCCGTTTTTTTTTTTTTTTTTGCATATTTGTCACACTTGAAAGATTCAGATCATCAAACCAATTTTAATATTACACAAAGATAGTTACAAAAAGATAAATACAAAATGCAGTTTTTAAATGATGATTTAATTTATTAAGGGAAAAAAAGCCGTCCAAACCTACCTGGCCCTACGTGAAAAATTAATTGCCCGTGATTAACTGTGATTAACCACATTATTTATTTAAATGTCACTAGCCACACCCAGGCCTGATTACTGCCAGACCTGTTGAATCAAGAAATCACTTAAATAGAAGCTGTCTGACAAAGTGAAGCATGCTTAAAGAGCAACACATCATGCTGCGATCCAAATAAATTCAAGAACATATGAGAAACAAAATAGTTGACATGTATCAGTCTCGAAAGGGTTATAAAGCCATTTTCTAAGGCTTTGGGACTCCAGCGAACCACGGTCAAAGCCATTATCCACAAATGTAGAAAACTTGGAACAGTGGTGAACCTTCCCAGTAGTGGCCGGCCTACCAAAATTACTCCAAGAGCGCAACGACGACTCATCCAGGAGGTCATAAAAGAACCCAGAACAACATTTAAAGAACTGCAGGCCTCACTTGCCTCAATTAAGGTCAGTGTTCATGATTCAGCAATAACAAAGAGACTGGGCAAAAACGGCATCCATGGGAGAGTTCCGAGGCAAAAGCCACTGCTGACCATAAACCACACAAAGGCTTGTTTCACATTTGACAAAAAATATCTTGATTATCCCCAAGACTTTTGGGCAAATATTCTGTGGACTGATGAGACCAAAGTTGAACTTTTTGGAAGGTGTGCCTCCCGTTACATCTGGTGTAAAACCAACACAGGATTTCATAAAAAGAACATCATACCTACAGTCAAACATGGCGGTGGTAGTGTGATGGTCTGGGGCTGCTTTGCAGCTTCAGGACCTTGACGACTTGCCATAATTGATGGAATCATGAATTCTGCACTCTATCAGAAAATCCTGAAGTAGAATGTCTGGCCATCAGTTTGTGAGCTCAAGCTCAAGAGCACTTGGGTTACGCAGCAGTACAATGATCCCAAACACACCAGCAAGTCCACCTCTGAATGGCTCAAGAAAAACAAAATTAAGGTTTTGGAGTGGCCAAATCAAAGTCTGGACTTAAATCCGATTGAGATGCTGTGGCATGACTTTAAACTGTCCATTCATCTCGAAACCCTCCAATGTGGCTGAATTAAAACAATTCTGCAAAGAAGAGTGGGCCAAAATTCCTCCACAGCGATGTGAAAGACTCATTGCCAGTTATCGCAAACGCTTGATCGCAGTTGTTGCTGCAAAGGGTGGCACAAGCAGTTATTAGATTTAAGGGGCAATTACTTGTAATTACTATGTAGTGACAGGCAGGTTTGGACTGCTTTTTTCCCTTAATAAATGAAATCGTTATTTCAAAGTTGCATTTTGTATTTACTCAGGTTATCTTTGTGTAATATTAAAATTAGTTTGATGATCTGAATCATTCAAGTGTGACAAATATGCAAAAACAAAACAAAAACAAAACAGGAAGGGGGCAAAAACGTTTCCACGGCACTGTATATGTCTTCTAAACATTATTCTATTAGTGCTACTGGATCTTAGCGCTGCGTTCGACACTATTGACCACAACATTCTTTTGAATAGACTAGAAAACGTTTTTGGCATTAGTGTAGGTGCATTAGCATGGTTCAAATCATACTTATCTGACTTCCATCAATTCGTAGCAGTGAATGAAGAGGTATCATATCGATCACAAGTGCAGTATGGAGTACCTCAGTACTAGGGTCGTTACTTTTCACGCTTTACATGTTACCCCTGGGAGATATCATCAGGAAACACGGTGTTAGCTTTCACTGTTATGCTGATGACACTCAGCTCTATATACTCTATATAACTTCGATGGTCACTGCAATCACCCGGATCCTGTACGTATCCAGCCCAAATGGTGGATCAGCACCTAGAGATGACCTCGACAGCCCTGAATGTCAGCGGAGACCAGGACAACTAGATGAGCCCCAGAGACAGATCCCCAGTGAAGACCTTGTCTCCTAGACGGCCACCGGGACAAGACCACAGGAACCAGATGAGTCCTCTGCACAATGTGACTTTGCTGCAGCCTGGAATTGAACTGCTGGTTTCATCTGGCCAGAGGAGAACTGGCCCCCCGACTGAGCCTGGTTTCTCCCAAGGTTTTTTCTCCATTCTGTCACCGATGGAGTTTTGGTTCCTTGCCGCTGTCGCTTGCTTCGTTGGGGACACTTAATATCCAGTGATATCGTCGACTTGATTGCACAGATACTATTTAAACTGAACTGAGCTGGATGATGACATCGCTGAATTCAATGATGAACTGCCTTTAACTGAAAATTGAGTGTTTACTATTGTCATTTTGCATTATTGACACACTATTTTCCTATTTAATACTGTAAAGTGCTTTGACACAATCTGTATTGTTAAAAGCACTATATAAATAAAGGTGACTTGACTTGACTTGACACACCAAACTCAGTTTACAATCATTAATTGAGTATCATGAAACCAAGGAAGATGGTTTCATGATATTCCTATGTATATTTTGTGACTTAAAGGGGAGCGTGCAAGCCATACTGTATGTTTATGCGCAATACTTCAGAATCTTACAGCCTTATTTTATTACAGAATTGCAAGAAAACAATACAAACAGCATATCACATTAAAGAGCATTTAAATTAACCAAATCTTAAAATATTAATTACAATTAAGGACTGTTTTAGATGATTAAATTAAAGGTTTAGGGGAAACATATTGCATTAAACAATTATTTAAAAGTAATTGGATCCTGGACTTTCTCACCAACAGACCACAGTCTGTTTGGATCAGTAACCACAACTCCTCCGTCCTCACTTTAAACACTGGGGTACCACAGGGCTGTGTGCTGAGCCCAATCCTCTACTCCCTTTTCACCCACGACTGCATACCTGTGCATGGCTCTAACTCCATAATCAAGTTTGCAGATGACACCATGGTGGTAGGCCTGATCAGAGGCAATGATGAGACGGCCTATAGGGACGAGGTTCAGCATCTAGCAACGTGGTGTGCCAACAATAACCTTGCACTCAACACCCAGAAGACCAAAGAGCTGATTGTTGACCACCGGCGGACTAAGAAGGACCACGCTCCCATCTACATTGATGGGGCTGAAGTGGAGCGCGTGGCGAGCTTCAAGTTCCTTGGTGTCCATCTCTCTGAGGATCTTTCCTGGACCCTCAATACCTCCACACTGATCAAAAAGGCACAACAGCGCCTTTACTTCCTTAGGAAACTAAGGGAAGCTCACCTGTCCCCCCACATCCTGCTGAACTTTTACCGTTGCACTATTGAAAGCATTCTCACAAACTGCATCACAGTGTGGTATGGCAACTGCACTGTTTTGGACAAGAAAACCCTCCAGCGGGTGGTGAAAACTGCCCAATACACCACTGGTGTTGGGCTATCCTCCATAAAAGACGTTTACCACAAACGCTGCCTAAGGAGAATGAGAAGCATCATCAAAGACTCCTCTCACCCCAATCACAGACTGTTCACTCCTCTCCCATCGGGGAGACGTTATAGGAGTCTTCGCTGTCGCACCAGCAGACTCAGGAACAGTTTCTTTCCCTCAGCGGTCAGCCTACTGAACTCCAATCTCAGGACCTGAACACTACATCCTAGATGGACCACCTAATGCTTAACTAAAAAAAAAAAATAAAAGTGTACGGAAGAATAACCTGTCTGCACTCCTCACTCACAATGTTCTTATTATTCCCTCTGTTATTTTGCACATTTCTCTGATATTTTGCACATTCCCTTGCACATTTATACCTCCGGATGCCATTTGCACTGTTATGGTCATTGGCCATATATAAACATATGCTATTTACGTACCTCACTGTATAATGCACCTTCTGTTTATACTCACTGTATAATACACCTACTGTTTTTACATTCCTTGCACCCTATGTTGTATGTACAGTCATTTGCATTGAGCTGGTCTCTGCCCTCCTACCTCATAACTTGCACTATATGTCATAAAGCTTAATGTATATACACATAATCTATATTTATTTATATACTCTGTTATTTGCACTTCTGGTTAGATGCTAACTGCATTTCATTGGCTCTGTACTTGTACTCTGCACAGTGACAATAAAGTTGAATCTAATCTAATCTAAT